TGATTATATTTTGATTAGAGAACCGGTTAATAATTTATGCAAAAAATAGCTTTTTGTTAATATTTGTTATTTTTTTTATCATTTTACTTAATTATGGTCAAAAAATTCTGAATTGTAAAGTTTAAACTTTTTACATCACTTCAAAAAATGTACTTTTACATGACAAAATACAAAATTTGAGTGATATCGGTTAAATAGTTCCTGAGAAATCGAATTTTAAATAAATCATATATTTATTTATTTGTAATATTTATTGTGTAATATTGGTTCTAGATAAAAAATTAACCTTGAGCTAATATTAAAATCCAATCTAGGACCTATCTATTAAAAAATCTAGACATACCAATAATAGTCCCTCGTTCATTGCCGTACTTAGGGATATGTGAACCGCTTAAAATTTAGGATAGGTTAATAGTTATATATTTTTTCTCTCTTTAGTTTTTTTTCACATTTAGAAATCTTTATAAATTGCACCACTTTCCCAGTATAAATTGCTATTTATCTTTATTATCTAATGATTGTGGCTCTGTAAGCATAATAATTATATCTTTTCACTTGGAATTGTGAAGAGAACATTGCCACTATAATCATCACTCATCCTGCCATTTAGTAACTAACTGCCAATGAATCAAAGTATTTAGTTTCAAGAAGAACACTGCGTGAAACTGATCACTTAGTTTTCAATCATTTAAGGAATCTTTTTAATTGTACTATTTTATAATAGTATATTACAGTAATTTGCACCAAAAAATATTGATTGTTAAAGGGTAACGTTAGACACTGATTAAAATAAGTCTATTCTAAAATGTAGTGTAATCAGGTAATATCACGAAATTCTTTTAGTTTTTAACTCTTGATGTAGATTAGAATGAAAATTAAAAATGTACTAATAACGGAGTAGAATAAGAAAAACAAATATTACCCGTAATTTAGGAATAAAAAAATATTTTGTACGTAATATCTATTGGTCACGAAAATTTTCATGACCTTTAATTCAAATTCAATGATTTTCAAGGATTGAGCTGAGATGCAATTTGGATTGAACTAATTAGATGCAGCTTAGGGCCCCTTTCCGAGCGGTCATGAATTCAATCCCCGTCGGCCGAAGACTCCCCCTGTACAAAAAGGTGACTGGAGCAAGCTAAATCTATCGGAGTCACAAAGTCCGCCAAGTTCCTGCAACAAACCAGTGCTTCAGAGGATACTGGATTAGAGATTAATTGTTCTTTGGTTCAGGTCAAAATTACGTTCTGTGGATAAATGGATGGTGTGTGAATGCGCCTACTTGTAAAACGGGATATGACGTATGCATGATGTCTCAGGATCATCCTATGGAATGTTTCCCAGACCCTCGCTAATACCGGATTGTGCTGCTCTAGTGAAACATAAACAAAATCAATAAAGAAAACTTTATGAAAAGAAGTGGTTATTAATAAATCCATAGAAAGATATTTTTGCCTGAGACGATAAGCACTCCGTTATAGGAAAACTTTACCTTAATGACTCATAATAATTTTATCCTGAGGGCAACCAAAAGTAAATAAATACACATGGAAGACAATGAAAGAAAAATGAATCCTATCATAGGACTTTCTGTTTAATAAAAATGCTCTGACAACAAATTAATTAAATAGTCTTGATACAGTATTCCAGAACTGTATGGAGACTATCTATATATATATTTCGCTTACACGGCGACAAAAAAAACCTCATTTCATCTCCCCGAATGGCAACGCTAGAAAATCGACAAAAGATTGCCTCTAAATATGTCACATGCCAAATCTAGCTGAGATGGCTCAACATATAGCGCTTTTAAAAACGGAAACTGAAATAACCAGAGAGAGCATTCTCACCAAATGTCAGCTATCACACTTATCAGCTGCGGCAATCTCATACTATTAAGCTAGGCAGAAGTGAGTAGTCTTTGTCGATAGATCTCTATTTTAGTATTTTGTCGAAAGCGCTTTCATTTCACGAATTTATTTATTACGAATTTATTTGACGATTAATTATAGCCAAAATGTTAACCTTTTTAAAGAGATATCAGTTTTCGAAATTTTATCTTAAGATTTTATACTATAGCACATTTCTAATAGGTTTAACAAATTACATGTCATTTATTTGAATTCAAATTTATTTTAATGACTCAGTATTTACTAAAAAGATGTAATTTTTTTTTTCAAAAAAAGTTGTTATATGGATTTGAATGATTGCTTTAAATTCTTAGAACTTTGTGCATTTGCAATGTACCAAAGTTAGTAGCGAGCAAATCGAGCTTGGTTTGCGAAGCAAACCATATAAGATTGCGTAGCAATTTTCGGGGGTTGGCGAGCGTTAGCGAGCAGGGGGCGCAGCCCACTAGTTTAATAAAATTTTTTCAACACGGGATAATACCGTCTGACTACAATATGGGGCTACTGCATTTCTATCATAAATAAAGATTTTCTGCTTCTAATCATCAATAGAAAACTTTAAAGAAACATGAAAAAATCTGATTGTCAAACCCTCATGTGACATAAGATAAGAATAAAAAATAGGAAACTTTAAGGCTATTAGGTTTCAAAATTATTGATTTCAATGATGCTATCATGTAAATTTATGAAAATGAATATGTAGTTTTGTGTTTTTGTGGTTCGTATTTTTAGTAGCTAAAATATTTTATAGAAAACTTTTTTTAATTAAAATTTATGAAAAAGTCAGAATGCTGATTCCGCGATGGAAAGATGTCATTTTTGTGTTGCTCATGGTAGGATTTTCGAAAGAAAGAATTTTCGAATTTTTTCTGTTATCATTAATGTTGCCAAATACAGTAGAGTCCTGATTATCCGAGTTTAATCTTTAACCGAGTTATCAAATATTACCAAGATTTTCTTGTTCTTGTTTATTTTTAAAACTACCGATGCAGATGCGAGAATAACGCAAACAAATGACGCTTATTACAAGCTATCAAATAATGTCAACTTATAAATTTTATCATGTTAACATGATTTTTTTTAGTAGAAAGATTATCAAACCTCTCCTATTTTCTCTAAATGGTCACTGTGTTGTTCATATGAAATAATGCTTGCTTGTTAACACTATGCTCCTTTTATAACTGCTGTTAGTTTCTAACAGTCATTAATGGCTGTGAAGTCAAGTGTAACCTGTCTTTATCAAGCACTCTCCATTCTAATCCGAAAATGGAATTTAAAAAAAAAAATCCAAAAACGGCTAAATTGAAAAAGAGCTCAAAACACCAAAGAGAAGAAAAATCACTTTTGATCATTTTCATCAACTGATGGAAAAACCTCACCATATTGGACATATTAAAAAAAAAAAACTACAGTAATTTTTGAAATTTGTAAGTAGTTTCCCATATAATATTGGATATTTTTCCAGATAATTCTCTGCGACAAAAAGGTATAGTTTAAAAATATAAAAATCTAGCTTTGTTTCAAGTGGCACTATATAGCATAGTTTAAAAATATAGCTTTGTTTCAAGTGGCACTTGAATTATTTGCCCACATTTAATGTGGGGAATAGAAGATTAGTCAACAGAATATATGATTGTTCAAATTGTAGGGAGTCAAATGGGAGACTTCTTTTTAGGCCCATTGGACGTGTCATGGTCAGGGAATTAAGCCTTACATTAGGAAGGTGCTGGGTTAATATCCCGGACAAGACATTGATTTTCTTTCAGTCTCAGTACTATCTGTCCTTATAGTGGGTACAACATTAACTCACCTAATATGTCGCCCCTGAAAGAATGATCAACAAATGCACCTTATTAATGCCTGTAAAATCGGGTGAGCACCGGACACTCTTCCTTTCAGTTTTTGATAGATACAAATACTCCTGTTTTTTTAAACGACTTTTATTTATAATAATTTTTTAAGAAAAAACATAATAATCATTGATGGTTATCATAAATTTTAATCTAGGTTTTTTTCTTTCATATTTTTTATTATCTTAATCAGAAAGTCTTAACAAAATTAACGTATCGAGAGGTTTGTGTACAATAGTTTATTTGTTGTTGTTGTTCATTTACGTCACCGCACTAGAGCTGCACAATGGGCTATTGGCGACGGTCTGGGAAATACCCCTGAGGATGATCAGAAGACATGCCATCACAATTTTGATCCTTTGCAGAGGGGATGGCAACCCGCTTCGGTAGCCCAACGACCTGCACGCGAAGTCGAGCACTTTACGGTAGTACAGTGCTACGGTAGTACAGTGTTACGGTAGTACAGTGCCATACAGTTTAACGAGGATCAATACCGCACACCGTCGGTCCCAGCGCAGACTGATCCAATTGGTCACCCACCCGCACACTGACCGCAGCCTGTGATGCTTGACTTCGGTGATCTTCTGGGAACCGTGTCTTAACGATCAGTCCACTGCGGGACACAATAGTTTATTTAAGTTTAAAATTGTAAAATGGATACCTAAAATTCATTTCGTTTAAACTGCTCCAAATCATTAATTTCATTATCATATTTTGAGCTTCTGCTTTAAAATAGAATTTAATGAATCAATACCTACCTAGCAGCAAAACAACTTGCGCCCCCATTATACAAATCCTGGCTCAATAAGGGTTCAAAGGGCTTTTATTTTCGAATAGTGGTCCTATATAGAATTGTCCGATTTATCTGATGTTTTACAACCACTTTACCACCAATACCGGCCCTACATGGAATCTTCAGATTCTTCCGATATTTTACATTCATAATTCAACCAATATTGGCCGTATATAGGGCCAATACTAAAAAGTCTAGACATCCTAATATTGTTCTCTCAGTGCATGTACTTATAGGACTTTGTATTGAAACCAACTGGGGCCAAGGTAAAAATGTTCCTTAATAATTTGCGGCTGTATGTCGGACTCGGTTTGACAATGTAAAAATTTGTCGTTGTGGTTTTATACTAAGTTATGTCCATTATTGGAACGCACTATTAATATGTTACGTGAAAATTTTCTGGTTTACTATTTTCGCTTCAAAAGTAATCAGGAGATAAAATCATTATTTTAAAACATGGTCTTTAAAGGGTTAAAATGTTCATTCATTTCTGTCTGCTAAGAAAAAACTTCTTAGAGGAAATAAAATTTTATATCTGAATAGATTTTATCGAAAAGCATCGGAGATGAGATAGTGATGTCAGCTTAAGTCACGTGGTTCCGAAAAAAAAGAAGGAAAATAAAAACAATAATATTCTAAAGTTCAGAGATAAAATCGTTTATTTCGTTCGGGTATAGGTTGACAATTCACTTTTCATTTAACTTTTATCGTCACACTACTCAATAATTTTTATTATGACTTATTTTCAAAAAAAATCATTTGTGTTTACGTGGATAATTGAAAACTTTTCGTTTAATACCTGTGACGTCAACGAGGTACTTCGAAGTCCAGATTTCCATTTCGGGGAAAGCAGTTGGTATCTTTGTCTGAAGCCAAGAGGAGAATGTAAAGACAAAATTGAATTTATATCGTGTTTTTTAGTATTGTGGTCTCCAGTAACATGTTCATTCCCGTTTCAGTTCGAACTCGAAATAACCGGAGCAAGTGGTGAAAAGCTAAAAACTTTAGAAGGAAACTACGAATTGTTCCATAAGGTTTCTAAATGGGGAAGTTCAGAATTCCTCGAAATCGAAAAAGTTAAGAAAGATGCTGAATATGGCTTTGAAGATATTCTAAAAGTCTGTTGTTACTTACATACAGAAAGTTCCGGAGAAAGTATTATAACGCAGTGCATTGCTAAAACGAAAATAGATGTAGATCGAATAGCTTTTGAAATGAACAATGTTACTATGTCTAGTGTTCTAGATTTATTTAAGGAGACTACCCTTCATGGAGGTAATATTTTCCAAGTGGCCATTCATACAAAGAAAAGTCCCAATAAAATTCAAGTAATTAAAGTAGGCTCCAATTGCCTAAAACGCCAAGCTGTTAAATGTAAGGTAGGCATGAGTTGCGATGATGAAATCTGGACCGAAAAAGCCTCCCATCTCTTTCAATCAAAAAAACTTCCAGAAATATGGTCATTTTGCGCAGATGGAATTTTTGGTGCGTTTTCACGACTCAGAAAAAAGACGGTAGATTTTTTCTGGGAGTTATCGTGCTCTTATGGAACAAACATCAGTTACATTTCATTCGATCGGTCTGAATCTTCGGCATCTTGCAGCCTAACTACAATTTACCCTACTTCACGCAAAGACATGTTATGTATGTTCTCGAACAAGAAATACAGTGATGTTAAACTGCGAGTGGATAGCGATATTATCGATGCTCATAAAAACATTTTGTCGGCCCGTTCACCGGTATTTTCCAGTATGTTCGACAAAATGGAAACTCACACGACCATTCTTGACATAGTTGATATTGATTTTGCAACATTAAACTTACTTTTAGAGTTCATATATACTGATTCAGTGAGTCCGATTAATTACCGGGGAGCTATAGATCTGCTTATAGCTTCTGAAAAATATCAAGTTTTACCTTTAAAAGCATCGTGTGCTTTGTTTTTAAAGTCTAAACTATCAATCGGAAATGTTCTCGAAGTACTGAGTGCAGCTAGTACAGCATGTCAAGAACGTTTAAAATCAGATGCTATGGATTTCATCTCCGCTAATTCCAGCAGCGTTTTAGGATCAAGCGAATGGTGTTTGTGGACGAAGAACAAAGATAATTCTAAATTAGGAATGGAGATTATGTACAAACTAAATAAAAATGTATCATTCTTCCAAACTATTGTATCAGGTAGGTTTTTGTTAATACAAACGTATTACTTACTTTTGCCGACCGGCCTGTGTAGGGGGCATGGAACTGTCCTTGCATCAGAAAGGTAATGGGTTCGAATCCCGGGCAAGGCATGGATGTTTCTTTCTCTCTGTGTGTTCTATGTCCTTTCTCCTTTGTGTGTGTGAATATGACCCGCCCTATAAACGAGTTTGTGGTTGAGTGAATAGTGTGGCGGAAGTCGAATTCTTGGCCATAGATGGCGCCACTAAAAGCAAGAACAAGCGCACTCCCCTAAACAGGCATACGACAAAAAAAATTTACTTACTTTTGTGTTAGAAATTTATGTTGCCATTAAAGAGGATGAGTTTGTGCTTATTTGTAATTTTGTAAAAATATATTTGAATCTATTAGGTTTAATAACTTGCTTTGGTGTGATGCAAATTTCGTCTGTTAAGTCTCACAATAATTTTTTCTAATTTTTAATAATTTACAAAAAATAATTCATATATTTGCATTTTTTTAAAGATCAAGTACTGGCAAAGAAAGATGGAAATGTAAGAATTATTAATTCAACACAAGGTGATATGCACGTATTTAATGTTGTGTTGCTCGGAGAATATGCTCCAGGCTTAACTAGCTTAGCATCAAGATTTGTAATTGGGCAGTATATTGGAGACAGACGTCAAACTTGCGGCGGTAAGTAATTTTATAGTAACATTAAAGAATAATTGTGCTTGCGAGTGATAATTCTTGCAATCGAAAGCTTGATCAATTGTGCTGGATGAGAACATAAGTTTCAATAGCTTTTTGACCACTTTCGGGTAATTTATTATCCTAAGATACAATTTATCCCTTTATTTAAATTTTAATCATAAATTGTTATCCAACTCAAAAATAAAACTATAAATATATAAAAACAAATTTCATATAGCTCCATAAGAAAAAATTGTAAGCGACGCCACCACTGTAACTATTACAGCTCTGACATAAAAGCTATTAGATTTTGAAAGCCATTTTAGAAAGCACAATGAAATAAAAAAAATTTTTAAATTTGTTCATAAATTGTTAAACCTGTGGTGAAATATACCACCACGCCGTCCACATTGCAGGCTAAAAATATGAAACGACAAAGTTGAAATTGAACGTTAAACTCCTCTTTTTTGATCCTCATAAGATTTAAAAACTTAAAATTATGTTTTTTTTCTTCTTCTTAAGCACGTATTTTGAGCTATATCTATTTTCTTAAACACACTTTTTGAGCAATATTCATTTTCTTAAAAACGCTTTTTTAACTATGTGTATTTTCTTAAACGCGCTTTAAGCTATGTCGATTCTTTTAAAGACACATTTAAGCCGGATTAATATCCTTTAATATACATTTTGAACTATGTTCATTTTCTTAAACACACTTTTTGAGCAATGTCCATTTTCTTAGAAACTCCTTCTAAACTACGTGTATGTTCTTTAAAGATATGTCTATTCTCTTAAAAACACATTCAAGCTCGCTCAATATCCTTAAATGCACATTTTGAGCTAAATCCATTTTCTTCAGTGTACAATTAGAGCTATGTCCATTTTCTTAAAAACTCCTTCTAAATTACGTGTATGTTCTTTAAAGATATGTCTATTCTCTTAAAAACACATTCAAGCTCGATCAATATCCTTAAATGAACATTTTGAGCTAAATCCATTTTCTTCAGTGTACAATTAGAGCTATGTTCGTTTTCTAAAAAGTGCTTTTTGAGCTATGTCCATTTTCTTAAATAAATAATTTAAGTTATGTTAGATTTTTAAAGACGTATTTCAGTAATATCTATTTTTTAAATACAAATTTTGAGCTATGCCTATTTTTAAAAACAATTGCTATTGTCAATTTTCTTTGAAACGCATTTGATCCATATCTATTTTTAAATGCACAATTTGAACTATGTTTATTTTCTTCATAATGCTATTTGCAATATGTCTTTTTAAAAATGCTATTTAAGCTTTGTCCAATTTTTCAAATACACATTTTCTCATATGCGTATTTCGTGCTATGTCCTTTTCCTTAAGTACACATTTTAGTTATGTCCATTTACTGATAACGCATTTCGTGCTATTGTTCATTCATCAGGAGTTGGCACTTTACATTTCTTCAGATGCATAGTTTATTTTTGTGTGAGGGATATCGAAGAAAACTATACCACGCTAATAATTGAGACAACTCTTAATGGAATACTTGTGAGTGACGTAGTGTGGATATCTAAATTCTGGTTGGTTGTTGAAACCTGGCATTTGTTTACGTTAGCAATTGTTCTTTCCATTCTATTTCGAGTAAGCCAAGCCTATCAGGTATCAATTCTCAGTGTACTGTGAATGTGTGAAGCGTCACATTCTAAATACTTTCGCAAAGATTTTTTTTAGTTGACTAAAGATGTTAAATGAATATAAACAAAATAATTATGCATCGATGTTATCAGGTACACAAAAAAAAATATCTCTTTGCTACAATAAAATACAGAAACAAATAATAAATCTAAGATAAGTAAAAGACGTAGATGAGGGAGAATTATATTTCAACGAATTAAATGTGTGGTACTTCTCTGTTTATAATTAACTTTTCGCTAATTAACATCCCAACTTATGTAGAGAAACTTATCTCAACTTTAATACGCCATTTTGCTGATTAGCTGGCGCTGACGCCATAGGTCATATGTGCGGGTATGGGAAGTCTTCTTCTTCCTGATGTGCCAAATACCCAACTCTCGTCAATTTGTGATTTTTTTCTTTCCTTACGTTATTTTATAGTCTGGTGTGCGCTGTTATACCTTCCGTAACAATAACTAGTCAAATATATTTTAAGCTTAAAAATTGCTGTTTTATAAAAATGAAATGTTTATTAAATAATATTTTTTAGTTATTAATGAAATACTTAATTTAAACCAATGTTCATATTATTATGCAAAAAGATATATTCATTTCAACGAAGAAACTTAACAATCATTTTCGTTAGTAACACATAATATTATTGATGATTTAATTTTATTATTTTTTAAGGCATTTTTATGCGCCATACACAATTAAAATATCTTTATTGCACATTATTTTATTTTTTTTTAGTTTTTGCTACTTTTTAAATTTACTAATTTTGGGTGAATTTTATTTCTAATTTGGGTACATTATGTTATTTGCGAAAAAAAACTAGTTTTTATGAAATATAGTTATATCAGTATCATTCACAAATGTCAATTCTTTTTTATTTTTACAGTGTTCTATTAATATGATTTGCACACAAGTGAATAAATTATGTAAATACTGTGTTTCTATTATTCCATAATATTCCTTCAAATAATTCAGTCTTTAAGTCCTTAGCATTTTTTGGGAATTTTTTCCAGCTGCAAATTTGGTATTAATATTGAAATCATCCTAATAAATTTATTAATATTATTTGCAGTTGAATTCCTGAATACAATGGTCATGTTGGAAGGCGTTTTTATAGACCTTCACATATCGGATGTTTGCAGCGCAGCGAGATTTCATACCATGGCACATTCTTACATTATTAAAGCTGAAGCTGCAATCATTGTGTATAATATAACTGATGTTGTAAGTATTTTATCGAAGTATGTTTTTGAATAATGTTACCACTGACAGCCAATTTCGAAAAAGTACACTTATGTTTTGCATTTTTCAAACAAAAAATATGTCTGCTGATTTTCAAGAAGAATTTAATACATTGCTTATGTGGAGTTTTTATAATGCATTTTTCACTTCGAATCCATAAGGTTGATATAAATTTTAATGATATCTTGGCTCAACGTGAATTAAATTTCTTACGTGAATTAAAGGAAACGATTTAAAAACTAAATCGCTAAAATTTATCTGTTTTACTCTAATAAAAATTGCTTGACGTTAACAATATTTCAGTTTTAGTACTTTATTAACAGTGTAGAACAGCTGACCCTTATCAGATTTGCAGATTTCAATATTCGGTCAATAAGAGTTGCCTTGAATTTTTAAATCAAAGCTATAGGACAAGAAAACTTTTCAGATTAACCACTGAGATTCATTTGCCATCGTAAAGAACATTCGGCATCAAAATTCTAGGCTCATTGCTCAAAATTGTAAAAGCATAATTTGAGCTATGCTTATTTTCGTAAACATACATTCCGAGATATGTCATTTTTCGTAAATACGCATTTCGAGTCGTGTCTATTCTCGTAAACGCGCGTTTTGAGCTCTGTCCAATTTTGTAAACAAGCCCTTCAAGCTATGATTTGAAAACTCACCAACGGTTTTTCAATGATCAAATGATCTTTGTACTTTTGTCTGTTGTCGTCTGTATTAGTTTTCAATTTATATTTATTTTAAAATCGCGACCACGACAGTAATTATGAAAAAGTTAATCATAAAGAGAACTTAATACTTTAAATAAATATTATGTTAAAACATTAAAAATGTACGATGTTGAATATAAAAAGGAAACAATTTCTCTGGAAAGCAATAAACGGCAAGAAGTTCAAAAATTATCGTTTGCGTATTTTTTTCTTATTAGACTTTGTTCACTGCTTTTTTGTTAATGCTTATGTTAGCCTGCTTTCTTATGACTTTTACAACTCTTTATTTGGGATTATGGCGTTGAAATTTATCAAGTTGAAAGTGTGTGGTTATAAAAAATCCAGAGCACCCAATTTCTCAATGGGTTATAAAAATTTTTAAAGCAAAATATCATATAATGTTGGTTTAAATTATAAACTTGCATACAACATTTATGCAATGTTTAGTTAATTTGATTCAATTAGTTTAGTTTCGTTAGATCAGTTTAGTTAGTTCGATTAGTTTCCAAGAAATTCAATTTAAATATTAAAAAAGTTAACGACCTATTTGAAATTTATCTCATTTCTTAGATAAAATTTGTTTATTTTGTATATTTTTTCTCGATAATATTATTTAATACAATAATGTTTTAGTAAGTTATAAGGCAATAATTTAGTGTCCCTAAGTTATCTCGCCAAGGTGGTGAGTTTATGCCGAAGAGGCAATTTATTTATAAAAATTCTCTTATCATATTAAGTAATATTGTAAACTATACAGAGCTCGAAATTGCAAACTAAGCAAGATACCAGAGGGAAAAAAGAGTCCCAAAGTAACCCCTCTTAATGGTATCTTTAATCAAAATTAATAGTGTCCAAATTCGTAGCTTAAAAAATATGTGTGCAAGAAAAATAGCATATTTAAGGTTGATCTTAGTACCGAAAATCCGATTAAAGTCAATGAGGTGTTTTGCGTTTTATTTTGCGCATTATCTCTGGAAGGAGCAAATTTGATATTTAAACTTGGTTAGACGAAATATTTCATAAATTTTCAATCGTTTGAAGCCAAAAAGTGACAATTTAGAATTAAAGTAACCTAAAAATAGTTTAGTTGAATCTGGAGTTTAAAAGCAGTTACCAATGAAAAAGCAAAGTAATATGATTCCATTAGACAAATAAACTGATTTTTGGCTGCTCTTACTGACTTTCAGTTTTAGTTTTAGAAATGTTTTTGTTCTTCCTGACTTACACATAAATTTGTTTTGGCATCATTTCTTACGAGGATTTTAAAAATGTAAGCGTCTCACTTTGTATATCTTTTTTTTTAAAACTTGATTTGGTGATTTTAAAGGTGTCAAATCAAATTTCAATGTCTTTTTCCCCCCAACTAAATTTGACTTGTTTACAATCGAAGTAAACAATACTCGTATACAATAAATTAAAATTTAATTTCTTTTTTTTACTGACGAGGGCCTTATTCTCGCCATTTTGCAGTTAAAATAATTGATTTGCACTTTCTTTATATTTTTCGTACTTAACATAGTTCTGATCATAGAGTATTATTCCACGGAATAATACCTTTAACAAAAAGGGTGAATCAAGGAAGGCAAAGGGTCAGATCAGGAGAAATAACGCTTGATAGTGTTTAGAACTTTTATGGCATTTGCCTCAAAACTTTAAAGCAACGTGGTTTTGATTTAGTATTTTGAAATTTCACATTTGTCAGTTTTTAGACTTTTCAAAATTTACTTTTGTTACAGTTTACATTGACAAAAACTGATTTGGATGTTGCTAAAAAGGTTTTTTTAAACTCAAATTGCACAAAAGCAAAGATGTTAAAAATCTAAAAACAGACAATTCAAACTAACATTTAAAAAAAACAAGAGGAATCAGTATTGAGGAATCAGAGGAATCAGTATAATTTTATCAGAAAAAGGTAAAGGAGTTTCTAAAGTACCGCCTTCTTTATGGCTCAAACTCTGATTGGATGATAACCTTGTAATTTACATGCGTCAAAATGTATTATCGCATCGAGCAAAATATACACCATCAGTTTATTTGCGAAAACAAAATTAAAATGATTAAAAGCATATTAATCTTTTCCTTACGGCGCTCAGCATGATTTTGTCATTCTGGTCCACATATTGTACCAGCCGTAAGCAAGAGGTTAAGGATTTTCTCTCTCAACTTTTTTGACAGTTGAGTTCGAAAAAGATGAGGGAGGCCTCTTTTTGACTTGTTGACAACAAAAATACATCAAATTAAGTTTTATTTCTTCTTTTAGGATAGCTTTAACAGTGCTAAAACTTGGGTTAAAGAGATACAGCGTAGTAAAAATACTAATATCGTAATTGCATTAGCTGGAAATTGTGCAGACTTAGCTGAGAAAAGAAAAATTAAACGTGAAGTAAGTTTTTTAGGTCAATTTCTTATGGTGGATGATGCTATTAAATATTCATACACAATCCTAAAATCAATTTACATGATTATGAAGTACGAGGCAAAGAAGATAATCATAGAATGCATTTTTAATAATCTTTTTCAGGAAGCAGAAGCATACGCCGATGAAAATGGACTGATTTTTATGGAAACTTCAGCGAAGGAAAATATAAACGTAGATGCCATATTTCTTGCAGTTGGTTAGTATAATTTTTTTTTGTTGCTATATATATTAGTATAGTTTTTTTTTTCGTTTTAAATGCTTTTTTACCAAGGAAAATGAAAGAAAAAAGCTAATGTTTGAGTACCTTAAACTCTAAGCAAAACATGCATTTTAAGGCTACTTTTCGAAGCCTTTGTTGTCATACGGAATAATGATCTTTTTCGGACACTATTCTTTTTCATAACTGCTGCTGTGTGTTTTCAACAATTATTCTTCACTGTTAGGTGAAGTTTAGCTGATATCTGAGCATTGGCTAAAGACAACACTATTATGTTGATATATTTTGTTTTGGCTATATTAATACAATATTAGATAGCACTCCTTTTTGTGGATATAATCGTGTGAGCTGATGAAGAGATGATATCTTTTCATTACTTTGTTTTCCGGCTTTTTAATATATATAAATTTTTTAATTAAAAATTTTTTAAAAATATTTTATTTTAATAATTTTTCTTCTTCTCTTTTTATTTTTTATTATTTCTCTTTTTATCTTTATTATTTTCCATGTTTTTTCTCGATAATTTTAACTTATTTTATGAGTTCTATAACTTGCAGTTTATGCGCATTACAAAAAACTTTCTAATTTTCTCCGTTTTTCTCTTTTTGTCTTTATTGTGCTATATATATGTAAAAAGCTTCAATTAATCTTTTTATGTTATTCCATTTTTGTAAATCCTTTTCCTAATTTATTATTCAAAACGAAACGCTTTCTCACTCTTTCAAATTCTCATCCTGTCCTTTAATCTATTTTTGGCACAAGTATGCATTAATTAAGAGTAATATATTTTCCCCTTTGCTCTTTGTGGGATCTATTTAATAAACCACTTACAATTACTTACCTTATTCCCTAAAACGTGGGAGGGTTTCCCGTCCGTGTAACGCAAAGGCAAGTTAGTTCTATCAAAAAGTTCTCCACGAAGGCAATTTTCTCCCAATACTTGTCTTCAAGTTCTCTTTTCTTCTGGATTTGGTTTAAAATTGCAAAGCTACGGAGTTGAACATTGGTAGTCGTAAACTCGAAAATGGATCAATTGTTCAACGTCGATTACAAAACAAAATATTAGAAAGCTATCTCCAACGCGTGACGTCATGAGGAGGGATATCGTAGCTTCAGCTCTAAGAGCGGAATGAACTAGCCCTTCTTTCTTCTCTTTAGCCCTGTTCTTTGGTAGCCCACCAACCTGCGCGTGAAGTCGATCACTTTACGGTAGAACAGTTTATCGAGGATCGGTACCGCACAGCCTCTGTCCCTACGCAGGCTGATCAAAGTGGTCACCCTCCCGCTTACTAGCCGCAGTCAGTGATGCTTGGCTTCGGTGTTCTACTGTGAACCGTGTCTTTACGATCAGTCCACTGAGGAACATTTCTACTGAAACATTTTCTCATTTTCAATCAACCAGATATTATAAAACCAAAATTTATGCATTGTGTTCCGTATTCTCCACTCTTATTCCTAGATTACTATTATAATTATGATTTGTTCTTTATTATCCTTATTATCATATTATTATTAGAATGGTCAAAATTGAAATAAACAAAATGTACGCGATAAGGGACACAAAGAAAGTTTTAAAGAGAAAAAAACAACATAAAAACTTTATCAAAATCTAATGCATCGAAACAGGAAAACGAGTTATCATTTTTAAATGCCAGAGGAAACAGAGAAAAGACTATTCGCAACACCTTCAAGCTTTATCCGAAATTAAACCAATATAGTTAGCCACAGCTTTCTCAATAATAATTCACCACATTTTGATAGCTTATTATTTTTCCCCAACTGACTGCGTATTAAAAACTACTGCATCTTTTTTTACATGGATACCAAATATATATGTTAAAGGTGATGATTACGGAAGACCCTATACTAGGGTAAAACTACTCTGTTTAGGGGTGGTTACTACTTGGGTGTAAACTTAAGGCTTTATACTAGGATTTATACACAGGATTTTAACTATGTGTGGCAATTGGTGCTATATTGAATTCTTGATGATGAACATATCTATAGTGTTCTTTTAATCTAAATGTTAAAGCACGTCTGGTCAGTCAGATGTATTAAATGTCGTTAATGACAACATATATGATACCACATACCTTGACAGTGCGACCTTTACTTATTAAAATTAAATTTCTTTTTAACAGCAGTTAATATTTGATTCTATACTTTTATTCCCAACAAAGCTTTACTTGCTCCATATTTTATTATCAAAGAGATTTAGAATAAACGAGTAATTAAAGGAGTAAATGAATAAAAATATTATTAAAATTATGTAATTTTAATTTAACTCATTTATACATCATAATTTATTTTAATAATGCATATAAATAAAAAAAAGAGAGACGAAAGGAAATGAGTAAGTGAATCAGTGAATATGCAAATCAAAAAATCAGTTCATATATAAGTAGAAATCGCTAATTTATGCGGCTATAAACGTAAACCAAAAAAAATCGTTTATTTTTTTTATTTCATTTATTTTGTTTGTAACAATATGTTATGAAATTATTTTCTGTTTTTCAACCTTGTTTTACTATCCCAGTAACTAAGTGGGAAAAAAATATATTTTAATTACAGCAAGTGCTCATTTGGCTAAGCTATCAACTGCTGCAGATGAAAATAATTCATTAGATACTGCTGTTGCCGAACACAATACGTTATCCACTCCTGCTGCTTCACCTGTGCATGGAAATCAAAATGTTTTGAGTGCTGCTAATGCTACTGTAGATGTGCCTGACACCTCTTTACGGCCAGGAAATCAGAATATTGCTGTATTAGGTGTGGCATCACCTAAATATAAATCTGAAACTGGTAGTTGTCATTCACCTGCCTCTTCACCTAATGCAGACCTTAAAGAAGAGAACCAAGTTGAGAACGAGATTGGCAAATGTCTGTCTTGAAAAAGAAAACAGCAATTCTTTCCTTCGACGTGCTGCAAGGTTTACAAGAACAAGAAAACAAGCAATTGCGATCAGTAGTTTTTAATATTTTTGTCTGCTTCAAAGATTACATTTGATAACTTGTAAAACTGAGGAACTTATAAACTGAGAAAACTGTGGTTACATAAACGAAATTATCGAATCTGACAAGACTGTAGTACCCAGTAATGTCTAAATTAGTGGAACTGGTTCAACTGTGGCAGCATAAATTGAGTTTACGGAATTTTTAAATTGCAGATTTGGATTCGAAAGTTTACTTGATGTACGTTCTAGAATTCTCATGTCGTCAACTTGTCATTTATGTAGAAACAGATGACAAAATTGTGGCAGCATAAATGAAAAAAATTTTCAGTTGCAGATTTGGATCCGAAAGTTTACAAGAAGTACTTTCTAGAAAATTCTTCTGTCGTAAACTCATGGGATCAACTTACCTTGTTATTTATGTAGAAACAGAGGACCCAACTGTGGCAGCATAAACTGATTTTAAATGCAAATCAAAGCATTTGAAAACCATTATTCAATTTGATTTATTTAATAAATATTTAGAAATATGTTTTTTTTTTTAAATTTAAAAATTGACATATCTACTTTTAAGTGTGTAATGAGATGCAATTATAGTCGTTCTACAGGTTACTTACGCTAAAAGTTAGGAAACAATTTCTTCTCTTAAGTTAAAGGAAATCTTTAGAATTATTTATTATTTTTAAGAGGCATATTTAGAAAAACTATGACCATCTTCTTAAGAATTTGAAGTACCATTATAAAATAAGCGTTGACAAGGGATATTTTTAATTTAAGCTTAAAATATCAATATTGCCTTGGGTTGTTTGTGGAGTGAAAAAATCTTTGGATGTTTTAATGTGAATCGACTGCAAAGAATAGTGATAAAGTAGGTCCTTTATATTTCTAGTAACGGATACTTCACCTCGGTTACTGATAAGAACTTCGTAATTTTGTTTTCTCCCGAGTTGGGAGTTTTCGCTCGTCGGGAAAGGAACCGCCCCCTTCTCCGACAGACTCTTCTGCTTCTTTCCAGGAAAACTGTAAGTTACAATTTTCCGTATAATTTGGAAATGTAAATAATGGATCAGAATGAATTAATGGATGAAACTGCTACAGAATATAGCAGTCGTCTTATTAAAACGAATACTAACATCCTCTTAGAATATGACGACACGATCCAAGACAAACTGACGTACGCAACGGACAATGGTTTAAATTCATACACGCTATTTTTCTCGCCAACAGGAGTAAACTCGTTTCCCAAAAAACCTTTGCAATTAAAAACAATTCTAACGAACGCTGTTAGCAACCCAAGGAAAATTAGTTTATGCACTCATACAAGACAGGGCAAACTACTTATTCAAACCTCAGATTTAGCTACAGCTTTGGAACTTACCAACCTGAATTCTCTATTTGATATACCTACCAAACCTGAAGTGATACAAGAAAACATTACATCTCGCTTCCTTCTGCATGAGATACCGTTAGACTTAAATCTTTGTGATTTAAAAACCGAATTAGAGTACAGCAACATCCAAGTATATAGTATTCGACGATTCCAAAAAAGGGGAGATACCGTCCCCTCTGAAACCTGCTTAGTAACCTGTTACGGAACACACACGCCGAAGAATCTTAGACTCTTCTATGATAGCATCCGACCCATAGCATTTTATGACCGCCCTAGACAGTGCCACAAATGTTACAAATTCTCACACTTAGAAAAGAATTGCCCCGCTCCTACCCAAATTTGTAGCCAGTGCAGTGGAAGTCATCACAAATCCGCATGCAACAGCCCTACAACGATCTGCAGTAATTGCACAGGGAACCACGCCTCCGACTATCCTGATTGCCAAGCACGACTAGAGGAAGCTCGATTTTTGCGCTTCAAAAACGAATCTCACTTAACGTTTCCAGAAGCTCGCAGACAATATAAATCACAAAAAGATAAACCAACGTTTGCATCAGTGGTGAAATCCGACCGATCAGAACAAATTGCGGATATCAAAGAAATAGTCAAAACAGCAGTAGCAGAAGTAGCTACAGTGTTTGACGCAAAACTCTTGGCGTTAACACAACGCCAGGACGCCCTCTTCGACAAAATATTCAAAGTTTTAGAAATTTTGACTTCTAAACAAGACATCGAACAACCTCACCAAAATCTTTCACGTAAGAAATTTCGTCCGACACTCGACACGGAAGCCCTAGAACACGGTTCTAAAACCGAATTTCCCTTTGTGACCGACACTGAGTCACCCACTCCGTACTTATCCAACTACATCGAAACAGAACCTCGACCAGAATCTTCAGAAATTAAAGGGCAGAGCCTAGTTACACCAGTTCGAGGCACTACCCCAAGACCACAAAATAGAGGTCTAACCCAAAAGGTCCCGCAAGTTCAAACAAAATCATCGACCAATAAAACCAAAAGCTAACCCCTACTTCCTTACTGCAATTGACAATACAATTCTCTAGCCACCCTTTTGAACAGTCTACAAAATGCCAATTAACATCACTTCCTGGAATTGCCGAAGTATTAAAAACAAACTTCACTGGCTTAAAATAAAACCTTTTTCTCAATCCCATATAATTGTTCTTCAGGAAACGTTTTTAAGTTCAGCAGACTCGCTCCATGTTCCGTCCAAGACAATTTTCCGTCAGGATCGAACGAGAGGTCGAGGAGGCGGACTCGTCATCGCGGTTGACCGCAACATTTCATCGAAGATCATTCCAATACCGAATCTACCAACATCAGATAACGAAATCTTAGCGGTGCAGATCACAACGACTAATTTCTCATTTTTACTAGTGAATATTTATTCCCCTAAAGGTCAATATTCAATAGACTGGCTGCAATCCCTAAGACGAACGTTAACAAACCCTTTTATTTTAACAGGTGATTTCAACGCACACCATGCTGCGTTAGGAGCTCAGACAACATCAAGAGACGCGGATAGGCTCCTCGACTGGATCCTAGATGCGCAATTCTCTCTACTAAACACGAAGGTCCCCACATGCTTCAAACCAGGGTGCCAACCCTCCCTTCTAGACCTCACAATAACATCAGCGGATTTTTTTCCCAAAATGAATTTCGTAGTGTCCCCAGACACATTCGATAGCGATCATGCCCCTGTGAACATGTCCCTTAATACCCCAAACGGCAACCCCGCTTTGAACAGGCAAACTCGAGTGAACTGGAAGAACCTAACCCGTGACCTTGAGGAAACTATTCGAACCGAAAATACCCTTACAACTCAAAAGTTTCAAACTATTTTCCAGCAAAAAATAAAGAATCATACCTCTTTCAGACCAGCGATTAATCCACTCTTCCCACCCTACTGGAACAGTCTGTGCTCCTATTTATTAGGTAAGAAACGAAAATATCTAAGAATCGCGCGTAGATCCTTCAACCCAGATAAGTGGAATATATACAAAAAAGCAGCAGCTGAGCTACGAAAAACAATACACTCAGCCCGAAGACAATATTGGAATGACGTTTGTGTCAACGCAGGTCAAACTAAATCCATTGGAAAAATACTCCGTGCAATTATTAACCGCCCTGAAAACCAAAATATATCGTCAAATCTAATCATGACCAACAACATTGAGCTTCACAGCCCATTGTCTCAAGCAAATGCATTTGCAGCTTTTTACTCCAAACCACCAAACAAAAACCCACTCCCACTGGATTTCAGCGGAGCTGACCAAGAATTCAACGAACCATTCTCCTTACAAGAACTCAACGACTCCCTCACAGCTTCAAAATGCAAGTCCCCCGGACCAGATGGCATCCCTTTAAAAATTCTTCGCTCCCTTTCGGAAGCAGCCACTCAGAAGCTACTCGACGAATTAAACCATATCTGGGTCTCAGGACAGATCCCAGAATCCTGGAAGCTAGCCCATATCATACCTATCCATAAGAAAGGGAAACCACCTGACCTAATATCATCATACAGACCCATATCACTCACATCAACCTTGAGCAAATCCCTCGAACGCATGCTCTTAAAGAGACTCGTAGATTTTTCACTCAAAACTAGAATTTTCCATCCCTATCACTGTGGATTCCTACCATTCAAAGGTGTAGACTCGGTTCTCACCATTCTTCACCATGAAGTGCTCCAGGCTCGGTTCGAAAAAAAGTATGTAATTTGCTGCTCCCTAGACATTCACGCTGCGTATGACAGTATAAACCAGGAATATTTAATTCTCAAACTCTTAAAGGTCGGAATTACTGGTCGAGCCGCCAAATTCATACACAACTTTGTCAACCAAAGAAAAATAGCTGTGCGATGGAGGAAAGCGCTTTCAGCCAACTTTCCTATGAACAGAGGCGTTCCGCAAGGATCTGTGCTCTCCCCATTCCTCTTCATGATTTACATGTCAGACCTGCATCGCATTCTCCCAGGTGACATAACTTGCCTCATTTTTGGAGACGACATCTACCTTATAGCAATCGCTGAAACCACCTACGAAGTAAGACATAAGATGCAATTTTCACTCCACCTTATTCAGGAATGGTGCAAGGACTGGTGCCTCGAAATCGTTCCGGAAAAAAGTGCCGTCATCAACTTTTCTAGAAGACGCTCAGGTGATAACTTCAATCTCAACATCTTTAATAAACCTATCCCGTGGACTCAAAATCTCCGAATTCTCGGACTTCACTTCTCCAGTAACCTGAGCTTCCACCACCACTTCAGAATTTTAAAACAAAAAATTTTAAAGAAACTCTCCGCTCTTCACTGTATTGCTACCACCCGCTGGGGAGCCCAGTCAGAACATCTTCTTCAAATCGTAAACTCATGCATCAGAAGTGTTTTAGACTTCGGTAGCCACATCTTTACCTCCTCAAGTGTAACAGGTTTACGAACCCTCGAAATCCTATACAATGCAGCGCTTAGGGTAGCAACAGGACTACCCCGATGGACACCCATTCCACTACTTCTCAAAGAAGCGGGAGTGAGCAAATTAGCTTCTCGTCACAAATGGATAGCAGCTAAATTCTACTTCCGGCACACCTCCCTACATTCATATTCTCCAGTCTTCCATCACCTAAATCTCCCACTATCCAGCTTTCCACAAGGTAAATCGGCCCCGCTTATACCATACATGCATAAATGGATGATTAGCAAGAACCTCTCCCAAAATGACATCATTAAATACCATACCCCTACTCCAATTCCCCCAAACGTCGTCATTCATTTAGACAACTTTGCATTCCAAACCAAGAATCTAGCCCCACCTCAGATAAGAGCCTTATTTAAAGAGTTTCGCTATCGAAACCTTACCAACAGCATTGTTCTGGCAACAGACGGATCAAAACAATTGGACAGAACCAGCGTGGGTATATATTCCTCTAAAGGTTATACGGTCTCTGGCCGAGTTCCGTCACAAACATCAGTCTTCACTGCAGAAGGATTGGCGATCTTCCTCGCCCTCAAACATTGTGTTACCAGCTACGAACATCATACCTTGCTAACAGACAGCCACTCAATACTTCAGTCCCTCTCCAAAGGCACTAGAAAATCTCCAAGAATCTCACTACTTCTCC